ACAGAGGGAGATTACTACAACAATTGAAAAAGATGAGACTTTCTGCTGAAAGCCTCAGAGAAACTACCCGCTTTGACTGTTATCATCACAATGAATGTCCCTTATCAGTTGTAATCACACACACAGATATGGCCAGTAGGCACCCTCGTGTATCTACAGGTAGTCCAAAAGGTGCACTATCATCCTTTTTAATCACTGATATAAGAGAAAGCAACCCAGATCGTGTCTGAGAACACCTTCATGTAAATAAGTGTGTGTAAAATTTCGAGTGGAGACCCTAGTAACACTAGACAACTAAGCATTCTGATTTGTAGTAAAAATCTCGAAAAGATGTCTTTGAAGCCAAATCACTGTCTTTTCCTAACTCTACCCACAATATCAGGCAGCGACATAATACTGAAGTATCCTGAACAGAAACATATGCGAGAATTCTACGAAAAAAGCCAACTAACATCAGCCACTGAGCCTGGGAAACTGTGTTGTGTACACTGCATAGTTTAAACTGTAAGGTGGCAAGGATATCTATTTATGGTTACACTAAAAATGTAGGTAACTGTGCCATCTTGTTTTACTGTACATAAATGGTGCATGGTGTTTTGTTCAGTGCTCTGGTGCATGAGTCAAAGACATGAAGATGTTGATGGAAAAAAAAAGCTTTTTCAATCTTGTTTTTGGAAGGAGTCACTTATCAAATAAAAGTGATATTTTTTACCTTATTTATTTAGATTGGTGCTTCATGTTGTTACAGCCCAGAACTGTTGCCAATATGACTTTCAAGTTTGTAGACTTGCTTCTAGAAAGATTTATCCTAACCAGTTAGTTTTTAGTGCCTAAACCCAAAGCAGTCAAAAAAAGATGGGTGTCTAACTCAATTCTAAGTGTTTGTGCTAATGCCTATATAACTAAATTATACCATAAAATAATCTCATCATACAGTTCTTTTTGTTTTTTGGGGGGTTTTTTCAACGATGATTTTCAGTATTTTATCTGATGTATACCTCTTGCTACTGGCTGTGGATCATATCTAGGACAGACAACCTAATAATATAATCATTTTGGTTGGAGGGCTTGTTTTCATGTACTGTGTAACAAACCGGAACCACATTCTTCTCACCCATCTCTCCCTTTGTCTGTATAGCACTGATTCAGATGCACCCACCCAAATCACTGCACTAGGTTGTTGGTGTTGACTGCTATTTTGCAAACAAACCATTCACATAAATGCCTGAGACAGCTCAGTGGTTAAAAAATAACCAAAGATCATAAGGAAAATATAGGAAAAAGATCGTGTGAGAGTAGATAAGACAAGACAACATTGTTTCATACAGGAGTAACAGTGGCACAATAGATCGACGATATAAGTAGACTTCTGAGATGTCAGGCAATCACCGCTGGTGAATTTTAAAAACCCATCAATGGTGGGTGCTCACTGCTTTGTTTTACAAAACTAATTCCAAAAGTTGGCACATATGCAGACATAAAAAACATCAAATTTAAATTAAAAAACGTATTTGATTATACCTAAAGGCACAATGCATCCATTTTTATTTGACCTGGCGTATTGGGTGACCCCTTGCCGATTGCGTCATATATTTTGAAAATCATTGTTGCATCCTGACATTTCCATTGCCGGAAACAGGCGTCACAACTTAAAAATTTGGCCTTGATAGAACCAAGCATTTTCTGCCCATTGGTGGGAAAGTGCTGATTAATTGTGTCGTAGCCCTGTGAGAAAGTACGCCCAGCGCAAAGCACTAATTACGGGCCCTGCCTGGTTGAGAGAAAAGGGGGCAAAACTCTCAACAAAGGCTCATCTCATATCTCAAGACAATGAGGAGCCAAAATAATAGGGGAAAGGAGAAGTTAATGAGCTGTGTCACCTGGCATCTGCTGATGTAGGGACAAGGACTGACTAGTATAGTCTGTCTGTGGCCATGTGAGAGGAGAAAACATATTATGTATGTTCAAATGTGTTTTCACAGTTCGTCACTTTAAGTTCATTTTTCTGCAACATTGCCCAAAAGATAGAAAAATGTAGCGCAGCGATATAATAAATTTAAACTTTCTATTACTCTATTATTATGTATGCAATGTGAAGCTTTGTCAGTGTTGCTGTTTCTCCCCCTTTAGGTGTTCAGCCACTGTGACTGTCATTGTCTAGTCAGGTCTGTTAAGGTTTGAAGAATAAAAACAAAAAAACAAAGCTGTTCCCAATCACATGCTTTCCAAATGGCATTGCATGGTGGATCAAAAGCTGAGAGTATTCTATACATCCATCCATCCTCTTCTGCCTATCCTTGTAAGGGTCACGGGGGGAGCTGGAGCTTATTCCAGCTACCACAGGGCAAGAGGCAGGGTGCGCCCTGGACAGATCGCCTGACAGAGCCGCCTGTAGCAGTAATTCCATCAGTTGCTACTGTAGTTATGAAAACATCAGAAAGAAAATCAAAGTATAGGTACATATGCATTTGATGGAATGAAATACATTCTGTTCCAGATGCAAGTATGCTGCTAGCAGTTTTAAAATGCTGTGACTGGTGACATAATGTCGTAACCCTCAATTACATGCAGTAGGATTAAAACTGCCAGGTAAGCTTTGATATTTCACACTTTAGTTTTGACACAATATTTAAAAAACACAGAATTTTCACTTAAGTTGGTTAGTGTATTTCCCACAAATGTGGATAGGGACTTTAACCACTGTGCTAACTTTAAAAATCACCTCATGTGAACTTGAAATAAAATATAATAAGGCTGACACAGTATACATACTAACCTTTATTTTTGACCCTTCTTATTCAAAACATGCTGGCCACATGTTGTTATGAGGAGAACAGAGAAGAGGTCTGGCTTTCCAGAAACTGTATGTACAGTAAGCACATTTGTAATCCTGTAAAAACACAACTCAGCCATGTATTCAAAAATACTTTGAGAATCACAGAGAGGGTTTCCCCTGTGGATTTCACAGTCACAAAGGCAGTCCAGTCAAGTGTGGTTAGCGCTTAGCATGAGTTAGATGGGCGGTAGCAACAGTCCTGTTTTGACAGTAAATGACGTGATGTCAAACTACATTTAATGACACAAGGTATATTATAGGTTGAATACTGTTTTATTTGGCTTCAGAGTTTTGTTTTTCACTGACCTTGAGGGACAATTTCAGTAATATTCATCGAGAAAAAACTTGTTTCATGTCTCAAATAGAAGAAAATTTCTGTTGACAGGGCTAATTGTTAAGTGTGTGGTTGCTGATCTCAAGGCCAACGGACCACTTTTGGTTGTTCCACTAAAATTTGTATAATTTATTCAGAACCACAAAGTTTTTTCTCTACGTTGACTCTGCTTTCTGGTCATACTGTATCCATTGTGCACATTTTCAGTGTGCTGAGATTTTCTAATAATAGAATATAAACTACTTGGCAAGGAGGACTGCATTTAAAGATTCCACCTCCTTTGAAAAGGGGCTGGGCTTTGCAAAAGGGAATTCTATGTTTCATTTTGAAGTTATTGGTCCAGTTCCAAGACCATCTAGCCTCCAACGATCAAAGGTTGAGTCAGAGAAAAGCCTAGCGGGAGGCTTATGCAAAAATGTCATCTCGTTATTGCGAATGGGCTGCCATGTTGGAAACCATCGGCTCTCGTTTAAATGTCAATATACCCCAGATGCACTTTGGCTGTGCTTGGTCAAGTTTGAAGTATGCAGAATGGAAAAAAAAAGAAAAACTTGTTGCTTGTATGAATAGAATTTGCAGGGTTTCAAAAGTTGCATTGATTAAATTCCTCAAACATCTACCAGGCTGATTTTAACTCCCAGTCCTCTAGAGTAACAAATCTTTGCAGTAAGTGACTGGCAGGACAGAACTTTGGCGATTTAAACAGGAAGCAGTGAATTAAATGTTTTTATTTATGGCACGTGAAATTTTTCATTGTACAATGTATGTACTCTGGCTGCATGTTTCTATTCCTTTCAGTAAAGTCATCATTCCTCTACAGAAGTGACAATACACAGTTAAAGAAGATGAAGACAAGATAAAGGGCATAAAACATTCTTCAAAATCCTACAGATACCTCCTTCCATCCCCCCAAAGACAAGCACCATCTTCAGTGCTGATCCATTATGTTAATGGAACATAACAGGGTCACACTTCAAGCACTATGTTTCCACCTTTAAAAGCAGCAGGCCAGACATTCAAAATCCCATGACGGAATGGGGGAACTTCTGGATGTGTTGGAGGCAACTACCAGAGTGGAGTGAAAGGGAGGGGGGCCGATAGCGTTGCAAGGAATTTAAACAAAAGTATTTTTTTCCCCCTCAAAGCCGCCATCTTTCAGTCTGACGGTTACTGTAAACATCATTCCTGCACACAGCATTATAAGACATGCTTTCCCCACATTCTTTCAGTGCTTTTAACAGATGCAAAGTTGTCCATCTTTTACCTCTTCATGCTTACTCTTTGGAGGACGAAGCATTTAAATCAAAGTAGGCTGCACTGCAAGTACTCAAAGATTGTTTGGGGTCTCATACCTGATCAAGTTCTTTAGTCTTGTGACAAAAATATTTATAATTGTCTCACCACTCACTTTAGCTATGATTGAAAAATTCATCAAATCTTGATTTATAACCTTAATAACTTGGTGGGGAAACTTTATTCCACCATTTCCTAAATGTTAAAAAGAAAATCTGTTTTTTAAAGCACCAGGTGCTTGAACTCCAGTTGCCACACACAATGATATAAAGAAAACTTCAGAAATATTTCAGTGGCCTTTCTCAAATCACTGCACTTAAAAGCAGTCCTCACGCTTTGGGTTTGTATATAAAAATGCATAACTTGGCAGTATGCAGAGAAGGGAATGTACTCTATTCATCCAAACCCTACCTGGAGTGATTTCACTTTCAGGGAGTGTTATAGTCAGTATGCACATCTCAAAAATCTGTCTCAAATTAGGCTATAAAGACATTTATACCTGTTTTCAGAGTTCAATAAAGACATAAAATAAGTCTGTTTTAAAATATACTCCTCATTTTATTAACAGAGGCCAAATAAAACTCACATTTTATTTACAAAGAGAGGCAATAAATATCTTAATAATAGTCATAAAATTATTTTTTGCTTACATTTGTTTTTAAAAAAAAAATCATAAACGTGTCATGTTGTTAGTAGCAACTCATACAAAAGACCTGCCTGACAGCAGGTAAATACATACTACGGGTGATAAGAGGCTGGAGTTTGTTGTCAGTGAGAAAAAATAATTATAAAAGCAGACTTTTCCCTTTAGGATTCAGATTTGAAAACAAAATAAAACTACCATGCTGCTGAAAGTATTCCCTGGATCCTTGACGTATTGGTCATCTGGATTTTTGAGGAAATTGTTTAATTGTTAAATATGAGTTCATGAGGTGATGTGGAGTGTATTATGTACAGTATTCCTATCCATGGATGACTAATCTGCATAAAGCTAAGCCTTCCCAAAAGCATCTTTGAGACTGTCTTCCAGTGACAGTGAAAGGAGCGAAGATGAGCTCACAGTCAAAAGATGATTTTGTAACAGCGAGAGAATTAAGGAGAGACAGAGAGAGAAAGAAAATGAGTCAACAGAAAGGTTCCTGAAATCAACCGAATGCAGACCGTGTAGGTGAAGATAAACAAAAGATTAAGGAGGTAGAGGAAGTCATCATCAGCCCCCAGACAGTAGCTCCGACTCAAAGAATTAAGGCAGCTTTTTGTTGTGGAACAGCTCTAACCCATGCAAAGAAGAGCTGTAAAAGATGCAATCTGAGGGGAGATGAAAGGGATTAAGATCCCTACTCAAATGCAATGAAGTTGGAAGACAGTGTGAATTTATGTATCACATCAGCTGTTGTATTTTTGTGTTGGTTTTTCAGTCTTTAAACAGAACAAAAGCCACGTTTGGCGCTTGACTAGTCAAAGCATGTTGGGTTTCAGCTGAATCTCAGGCTGTATGGAAATCTCACACAGTACTTGGAGGCTTCCGCGCATTCTAGGAGCTGAGCCACACATGGAAAGAAAGAAGACGAGAAAGAGAGAGACCTGTAAAATATTGCACTCGAAGCTACACAGTTATTCTGGCAGCACAGTGTCACCTGCAACTGCCACCTCTCTCCGTTTCATCTCCATGGTTTCTAATTCCAGTGGAAAGTATGGGATCCGCATTGTCAGGGGCAACACAAACAAAAACCGACAGGTATTCCAATAAATCTCTAGTTGGCTGATTTTTATAACATTGCATCAGCTCCTGCTTTTGTCAAAAAGAAAGCATGCCTTCAGCTTGCAGTTCATATGTAGCTGAGGGCCACGATCACAGGAATTCGCTCAGAGGTCCTTTAGTTTATCCAGTATAAATAACATGACAGAAACATTAGCTCAATGGCATCAACCCAGAAGAATCCGACAGTTAGGAAATATTCAGTCATCCTGAAATACAAAAATAAAAAATCTTTATTTTTTGTTCTTTTAGTCAGTCTTTCTTTTACAGAAAAGAAGTCTTCTTTTAAGAATCTTGAGATTTTCAGGTACAGTTTTTTTCCTCCACGAGGAAAACTAGAGCTGTCCCATTAGTCCTGTCAGTTCCTCTTTGCGTTGGATTTTAACCGCCGAGCCCTTCGTGTCCGCTTAGTTACTGTGGTGAAGCGAAACTCCTGCACTGGGTTCACCTTGCCCTTCGGCTGGCGTTTCATAAAGTGGACTTCCTGTTGTCGTTGCGTGGTCCGCGAGCCTTTCTTAGGCCGCCCTTTCCGATTGAATCCGAGGTACCATCCTTTGTACTTGGCAGAGACGAGAGCCGTGTAGTTGTTCTCCAGGAATTCCTCGATAAAGACACACTCCTGCTTCCTTCCATCAGGCTGAAAGAAAAAAGAACAAGAATGCAGAGGAAGTTATCATCTGACACTAATTATTAATATAGTAGTGTGGCCTTTGAATAGTCTACCTCATTTTCTCCTCTTTTTCAGTTTGGAGTGATTTTGTGTTGCAATCTAAGTTTTCCCGTCACATGGTTATAACGTACTCACAGATCAAAAAGGGTTTCAGTCACAGCTGAAAATACAATTGTTAATCAGCGGTGCTAGTTTCAGTCATTATGCAAATGTACTGTTTATAGGGTCGGGGAAACCTGCAGTCAACTGAGAGTGAAGAAGTCACTTGAATGAGTTTGGATGAGTTTCACCCACTGAAAAGGTTACGTTTAACAGAATCAACTTTTTGTGAGGTAAAAAAAAGTTCTCCCTGTGATGTGAGAGTTAATGTTAGGTAAGCGTAAACATATTAACTGTTACTTGACTCATTCCCATTTTTACCACTAATGCACTCTCGCTAGTTGAGAAAATTGAACTCTTTAAATAATTGTAGAAAATCTTTTTATTTGAGCTTCCTTGCTGCTTAGAAAGGTTCTATATAAATTCCAAAGATAATACGGAAAAAAAATCTAACAGTTTCTCTAAAGCTCACATTTAGTTAATCTATACAAAACAAAACAAAGTGGTGCAGTGGCAGATAAAATTAAATATCTGGCTTTACAGAATATTATGGGACGGACAACTTTTTAGAGCAGTGACGTCTTGCAGTTGGATGGATTTCTTAGCTTGTAATTCAGTTATGCTAGCTATATCCCGTTGCATCTAGCTTTTATGCAAAGTTAAGCTAGCTATCTCCCAGTTCTATAGCATAGGTATACAAGTACACTACATATGGCTATGTATAGGATGACACACAGGAAGCTCTCACACCATATAACGTTCATAAAAGATGGTCTTAAAATTAAAGTCAGCCGAAGTGCCTTCAACCTGCATAATCTCTGTAGGCCAGGAGGGGGCACTCCTCTGGTTGCACCTCTCTGATTCTCATAGAAGTCTACAGGAAATGGCTCTTGGCTCAACTCATTAACACTTTCTTGATAGGTTTAGCGTTAAAAATAGTAAAATATTGACAGACACAAAATCAATACATCACTGGGTTTCAGACAAATCAGAGGCCAGGAAAATGAACACTAACATGGCAAATTCTGGCATTTGGGTTAAAGACAGTTTAGAAATCTTGATGGGAACATAATTTAGTTCTAGCAGACGACCGCAGCGAGGGAAAACTTGAGTGAAATAATCCAGTCGCACCAATGCTAAGAACATGATTTATTAGAGAAACAGCACATGCGCTCTAAAAAATGTTACAGTTTCAAATGTTAGCTTTTTTCACACTGAAATGGTCATTTGCCGAGCCACATGCAGTCATCCTGCACTTGTGGCCACCTGGTGCGACTAAGTGATATAATTGCAATGGTATTCCTCCTAAGTGACTATTAGTCTCTCAATGCATTTTGGTGATTGCAGACTGTAATTGACTGATCGAGTGTCAAAGGAGTAGGCCGATTACGTAATGGAAGAATGGCTGTGAGTTATCAAAGAGGTTTTGTTAGGGTGTAGAAAAACAGCAGGAGAAAGCAGATCCTAGGCTGCGTTTGATTCAGCATGGATTAAGTGCACGCTTTAAAATATCAGTATTCATTGAATATTACCATAGTGAAAATCAAAATGTACTCACCATTCCAACTATTTTGCCCTTCTCATTCATGCAAATGTAATGTTCGCTCTCTTTTCCTTTTATTCGGACGTGGCTCCCAAAGGTTTCTGTCTCAACAATAAGGAGAGCTGCAAATGAAAAGAAAAGAAAAACACATCCAATTAATGCCATGTATATGTCTTGTAGCACACATACCTTAAGGAGTCAAACACATTTAGTTGATTCTGTAAGAATACAAGTTTTAATCATGGTTAACTTCTTTTGTTATTTTTTAGTTAAAGAAACACAAACAAAAGGACACAGTATTGTGATCATTAGCTAAATGATGATTTTCTTGACTAAATGCAGTTAAAATATTTCAATTCAAGTAGAACATTATTTAAAAATTCCTTGTATGATACACATCAGAAAAACAATGCCACTGTCACTTCAGTAGTCCACTTTAAAAACCTATCTCGGTAGCCTTTTTAGTTTTTCGTGCCCACTCCGCCACCCCAGTGTTAACCCCTGCGAGGTCACCTTTGTCTCTGCTCACCCTCTGACCAGTAAAGAGATCTGCCAAACATTTGTGGAGCGGTTATGTGCCCCTCCAGATTAGGTTTCAAGTTCCCTTTAGTCTGTGCTCACTCAATCAAAAAGTTAAGATGATCCATTTGTTTAACACACAGAGCCATTCAGTAGCACTCAAGGGAGGAGAGAAAGAATAGTCGAAGGGGACGGGATAGGCTCGGGGGCAGAAATAACTCTCCACCCCCCCTAAATCCAACCTTGGGAGAAAAGTGGTAGGTAATCTGTCTTAAAGGTGAGGGAAGAAATAGTTATTCATTCTTCATTTGCAAAAGATTTGTTTGTACGTCTTACTTGGGATCTAAAGAATAGCACATCGGACTTGGTTTTATCGTCGAATAGATATGCAGGGACAGCCTTAAAAAAGAAAAGACAGCCCAACAACATTGGTTTTCACACAAATAAAATAATATTCTGAAAGAAACTACTGCCATGAATGCAAATTTAGGAAATCTTTAACCACACCTTGGCCTTTTCATTGTGAGCTACTTTTACAAAAAGACCCAAAAATTCAACCTCAGTTATGCTGGAGACTGAGAACATCAGATAAAACAATATTTCCCTCCTTACTGTAAGTTGTTCTTTGTCTGTGACCGAGTTCCAACCCCTATCTTGAGTTTTTCTGGGAAAACACTAATGGTTTGATCTTTATAAAAGAAGAGTTTGGCAGCTTAAGGCATCAATAAACGTAATTAGATCCTTGAGTCATAGTTACAGTGAAATGCAAACACTTGGAGGAATCTCACTGTTGTCAATACCTCTAACAAGTGGCACTGAGTTGACAAAGGAGGGAATGTGGTGCTTTTATTTACACTGTAAGCACTTGAATACCCCTAATCTCCATAATCCACAACCTTAAAAATTGCTGAATGTATGAACCGGGTGCTTCAATAATCTCACAGCAGCCTTGTGAGTGTAGGACTCCTCAATGCTTCCCAGTTTTTTATGGATAAACAAAAAAAGGTCTAAAACATGAAAAGGGTGTATTTTATTTAACGGAGCAGAAGTCAGAAGATCAAAAGAAAATGAAAAAATATGACAAAAGTTACAGACAAACTTGCCAAACGTCTACTTTCTAAAGTTAAAGAGACACACAGGCAGAACTGTGAGCCATGAACCCCTTCGCTTCTGAGGTATGCTGCACTTTTTCTGCCTTGCTTCCATATGAATAATACAGGTTGCTGCCATATTTTGACCTCAGCAAAAGGCCACCTGTTCAAAAAGCTGAAAAAGTCAGCATTAATCAAAGATTGCAGCTTTTATCAATTTAAAAGCCTTTGCAATGACCCGCCATCACTCTTGGCAGACATCACTTACAATGGACTGTTCTGGAAAATGACTGGTCTGGTCTCCTAAAAGTAATGAATACGCTACATTAATACCTAAGAAGATTTATAATACCAGTGATGTTAACTGGAGAGATACCTACTTAGGAGTATATTAGCAATATATTATATTTCTTCAGCAGCGTATTTTGGTCCCTGTATGTGAAGCTGCAGACACTATGCATGAATTAGAGTAAGGAGAGTTATCTCACTGAGCATTATTGCTGCAAAGGAGTTCACAGGTGCCAGGTACTGCAGCTGGATGGGGAGGAGGAGGTGGGGGGGATGGGAGGAGGGGTGGAGGGTGGAATTGGCAAAGCCTCATGGGAAAAATTGGATCTGCTTCCACTCAAGCTCTAACAAGCAGTGAGGAAACTTCGCCTCGGCGCATCTGTGACTGAACACACTCACTCAAAGGCATTCAAGACCAGCAATTTTAGAGCCGTGAGTCAGCTGTTATGAGCAAAATATCTGCAGGGAAGCACAACATAAGCCCCACTGCTTTGCGTTTGGACTACTACTTCAAAAGGGTGCTGTACTGACCATCGATTTAGTCATTCGCCATACTCGTTTTAAACCAAAATAGCAAAGTGCACGTGAAAAAAAAAGAAAAAAGAAAGAAAGAAAAGACAGAGAACACTTTAAAAAGATGATAAAAGCCTAAGATTTATCTGAAATACTACTAATTACATAACAACAATGATAATTACTGGGTCAATCTGCCAAACGTATTTTGACATCTTCAGACTTAATGCTTAACATTTTCAGGTGAGCACTTTTACACTGCTTGGCTGAACAAAACTCTCCTGGCTTTCCGAAACCGTGTATATAAATTTGATTTCTTGTAATGCAAATGTGAGATTTCCCCAGTTTGCATGATGGAAGTTCACAGTAACCAAGTTGAGACTGAATCCTTAGAGGGCAAAAAACTATATTTTACAACTCAGAAACCAAAAGAAAACAATATTTTTACCATCAGATACCAACAAGTCTTGGTCTGTATTAGACCCCCCCAAAAAGCATAACACTGCTGACATATGACTCCAACAGGATAAAAACAGACTTGCCCCAGATACCCAAATCCTGCAGTAAACATCAACAGCAAAGTCAGCAATTTCAGTATGTATTCATCCACCCCAACCTGTAGTTGGTGGCTTTGAAAAGTCACCATCCTCTCTTGAGCCAGCCAAACACAGAGCACGGAAAACCACCGACAAACAATGAGTAGTAAACAGCCAAAGTGGCTGGGGGAGATAGAAAAGCTCTGGCTGGCAGGTAATTTCTCATCCTATTATAACAGCCTAGCTAAATGTCAAGTGAGATGCACAGGAGTTCTCCCATACCATACTTGCCCCCATCATCTCCATTGGCGTTGACTTTCTTTCCCAAGATCTGGACGTGTTTGCCAGTGGTTCTGCTGTAGAGTTGATAGATCCGGACTTGCTTCCGGCTCAGGTCATCTGGGTTTCTGGTGTGGTTTTCGATGTAAAACCTGAAATCAGCAGAGCGCTGCTGCGATTCCTGCACAGATGTGAGACAGGAGGAAACAGAGAGAGGGACAGTAGATGAAGAAACAGAGAGGAGGAGAGACAGATGGTGAGAGATCATCGTAGCACAGGTATTGATAGTAATGTGCACTGCTCATTTTATGGGCCTGGTGTAAAAAGAAAAAAAAAAATTGCCCCAGGGTTTTAAAAACTCATATAACAACCTGGAAATTGTGCTGTGGCTTTTTAGTGTTTTGCTCCTTGCTTTTAACTGACACATTTTATATGCAATGCATTTACAAGCTGCTAACTATGTTACGAGACATGTTAATGAAGTCACGGTTTGAGTAAAAATTGCACAGAGCAAGAGCAAACCATACAGTGAAAACTGAGTGTTGGTTTATATTGACAGAGTATATATTCTGTGCCCTGGGCAATACTGAGAAACCTGTATTCCATTTCCACAAGCAAGCAAGCCACTAGCAATTATACACCTGAAGCATCCAGACCTGTTGCACTATCATCAAACAAATATCTGCCTGCAGGCAAAGTAAAGTCCATAAATTAGGAAATGCAGCAGGCGGAGGACAAGATGGAAAGAGGCACCTCAAACCATAAAAGTTCTCTTGTGGGAGGAATTTTTGTAAAAATCGCATTGAAACCTGCTTCTCAAAACTCACTGGTCAGCTGTTTAGGAATAAATTTAGACTTGACATGAAAATAGAGGAAATTGCAGAATTCAGTGGCAGCTCAGTAAAACGACTGTGACTCAACACGTGGAAGAGGAAACGTATACTTTCAGAAGCCCTGGAATCTAAGTTCACGCCAAAATCCCATTTCCCCAGCTGTATGGTGTCGTAATTGCACAGTAATGGCTTTTTATGTGGCTGTTCTCAGGTGGCTAATTATATACACATTACATACCCCAAGTCCTTGTTATTCTAGTAAAATGACTGACATGTAGCAAACTTGATTGGAAATTATGGCCTCTACCGAACAAATCCTTAAAATCAGAGAGGAAAAAGTAAACAATTTCGCAAAACTGGGTGCAATTCTGAAGAGGCTTCCGACAACGCTCTGCTGAAACATGTCGTATGAGTCGTGCACCACGGATGTTGTCCACGAACATGGGTTCTACTGAAGAAGCCCGGCTTTACAGTTTAACCTCAATAAACCAAACTAAAAGACACGTTTGAGCACCAACTCATCTGTAAACATTTTAAATTGCCAAAAAGGTCATGAGGTGCAGATTAAGTAGCACTTCTTGGTCATGTTTCAAAGAGCCTTTGAAATATGAAAGATATGCTTGCTTGTTATGGCATATTTGGTCTACAACGGTGACATATCCTCTGTGTCTGTTGACATTTAGGAAACACGAATGATATTATTTTTGGCATCAGACAGTGTGGAAAATAAGACGGTGAAGATAATCAAATCAAATGTACTCGCTTACTCAAATTTGGCATGTGATGGCTTTTTTGTCTCTAGTCACAGATTGACTATCCCCCTATAAGAATATTCTATAGTATCTTTTCCCCAATTACTTCAAAGAAGTACACAACCTTCATGATACAATACAGAACAATGATGTTACACACTGCCCTAGAATATATTTCGATTTTTCTGCACATAACACAATATGAAATCAAAATAAATCACAAGAAGAACCCTCTGGAAAACTCTGAAAACTAAACATTCCCTGGTCTTCAATACTCACAATCCTAAACCCAACCTGGACCACCAGAGGCTTGTACTGCAAAGCAGATTTGGGGTTTGTTGGGGTCAATTCAGGTTTAACCTTGATTCTTCAGAGCTGCAGTGGTTGTTATCTTCGTACTAGGATACCACACCATGCTAACACATCTCGAACTCTTAACCTCCATCACAGCTTATGTTTTACTTAACATACTAATCCAAACAAAAAGACTTGTTTCTGGCTAATCAGTTCTTGTGAAAAATACTGTCAGTGTCAGACTTTGTCGAAGGTCCCATGGAGATGGGTGGATTTAGAGAGGGTCTCTTAGGAGGGTAAGAGTATTCCAGAAAAACCCTTTGCCGTTCCTTGACAAGAGATATAGATTATCAGAGATGAAACTGCTTATCTTTGTAAGCTGATTAAGGCACTGATTGAAGCCTTTGTTGATCTTACAAAGATGTAAGAGAGGAGTCTGCTTACTGGCTGGAAATATCCTTTTATATTTGCACATTAAAACTGACCAAACAAATGGAAATTCTAGAGAAAGAGTTGTCATTTTACATTTGTGAGTCGTGAAAGTTTCAGTGTCTGTTGTTCTACACAGTATGTGTCTTAAAAAAATGATAAATATCAACAGTTGAGTGGGTATTTCAGATACAGCAGTTAAAGAAACTGACGGGGGAGAAAAGTGTCACCATTTCAGGTGAAGAAGTTAGTTAAATAGAGTCTTAGGGGCTGGATTACCAGTGACTAATGCATAACAGTGTAAAAGTAAGCATGTGTCCAATGGTTCCAGCAAACTTGCTTATCGTAGAATAAGTACAACAGTGTTTAAAAGCTGAACATTAACATCATCTGTTGTCAATGTTCTTTCTTAATATGAAACTCAAAGCTGAAGAACAAGAAAAAAAAATGAACGCACAACAAAACATAGCCTAACTGGGCTGCTGAGGGATTTATCCCAAATCTCCCCATCTCTAAACAAACATAAAGGTGTGTTTGGTAGACAGTTGCATTTCATGTCAAGGGAAAGGCAAGCCTAAGCACATGGCTGAGGTGAACGCTAGCGACAACAGCTTTTTTTTTTTTTTTTTTAAATCACTCTGTCTCCTTTCTTCAAAGACAACACGAAAACGGATATGGTTGAAACTTCAAAAGTCTGGCACTCAGTTCCACTGAGGAAGTGAAGTTGTCGCAGTCATCTAAGATACACCTTGCTATCTGCTCCCCCCCCCACACACACACACACACACACACATTCATACATACATACATACAGATGGGGTCACACACACTCACATACAGAAAAACATTCCGACAGACATTGGCAGTGTATTCAAAGTTAACTTCCAAGTGCGGTTGCTTCTTTTGTTTTACCTCATAAAGTCACAACCACAGCATGACATGCAAGAGCCATTAAGCCATACCGAGGAGCACTGAGAAGGAGTGGAGGATAAAGGCATGTCCCTGCATTTTTCTAAGATAAATGATTAGGCTGAAACCACTGAAGCCATGAACATCCTCTGTTTACCTGTAGCTATCATCTGACGAACTTTAAATCACAACAAGCATGAAGTTCACATTAAAAAAATAATAACCAAAAATGTTGGGTCAAGTGAAGAGGGGTCAACTTTTTTCATCAACTGTGTTTGTGCCATTTCTGTTGAAATAATCTGATTACACAGTTTTAAGATTGCAATTTCTAATTTCAGGTTGGTTTACATTTTGTCCCTAGGAAATTTACCTATTACTCTAAAAGCTGATGGTTTTCAGGTTGGGACAATGTGATCCTAGCAGCAGTAACTGTAACCAATAAAATATATTGTTTATAGTTTACAAACAAACACTCCTTTTATTCCTTATTCTTGGTATAGTTTTTATTTTTCAATTAAAAGAAAGAAAGAAATGTAGTAACTTTTAAAAGATGTAATTACATAAACACTAAAACGTTGCCAACTTTTTAAGAGCTGTTTGTTAAAAAACGGATGAGATACCGGTACCTTTTAAGGCAGGGTATCCTGTTTTTATTAAATGTCGTAGATCACAATAACACCGAGAAATTAATATGAAACAACTGTGTGTGCAATATTATGGTCGGACACGTCATACCAACAAACCCATCAGATAGTTTTATGAGAGAAGGAGTGTGCTGACTGCATCCTATGTGAATCACGGCGCGCAATCAATTAGCTGAGTGGGTGCCTGCAAATCATTACTGTTCAAAGTGAGACGCGCAACTAATAAAAGCTGAGCGCCAAAAGAGCCATCTGTTCAAAGAACAACTGTTAACCCCAGGGATCGCAATATTTTTTTACACAATTCTGCTGTAAAATATCGAAACTGCTACTTGAATGTCAAATTGCAAACATCGGGTTTTAATTAAGGTGTAGCCCGGATAATTGTACTGATTTGAATGAATAATGAACATTTTGAATATACATTAATTATGCATTACTGTAATACTCGTGACAAGTATTTAAATCACATAAATGATATTTCACGGGGTTTTTTGTGGTTTACTGTGCGACTAAGTTTTTGTTTATTTTTTTGGTGTTGTTGTTGTTGTTGTTTTTTTTTTACTGTGGCACGCAGTAGACCCAAAATTTGTCACTTTTTTCCTCATCATTCTAACCAATTAGTATTGAAATGAACAGAATTAAAGCACATGAATTTCCTGTCCTGCGTGGCAAAGACCGTCGTGAAATTAAACTATAACCGTGATTTAATCAACAGTTACATCAAAAAGCTGCACAGGGACATACAAACACATACACACAAAAAGTAATAAAACATACCTGCAGTTGGAAATAGAACACCAGAAAATGTAAACACCTAAGTGGAGAGGAGAGAGAAGGGAAGACGGGAGTTAATCACACAGGCAATTACGTGAAAAATAAACGCTGCCTACCTGGATGACAGCAATCCAAAAATATGAAGCGTTTGGCGACTTCTATTGGTAAGAATGCATGAGTTTGTGTGCAAAAGCAAACGGAGAGGTGGAAGACTTACAGGTATATGAACCTCGAAGGCAGGAGAGACATCTTGACTTGCAGAAATACAGCTGAAATACACCTGCTTCCACTGATTTAGCCCCAGGAAAGGTTGGCGAAATCGCCCCCCTCTCTCGCTCCGTTTCGCTCCCCTGTGCGTATTTTACGCACACAGCTCCGGGGGTAAGTAGGAGACTGGATCCCAGTGTAAGGGCAGATGACGGGACACCAGCGGCAGAGTTACGGAGTGCAACATTGGGTGCTTCCTTGTTGGATGAAATTATCCAGAAGATTATTTCTTCTCTGCTCAGTCTCCTTCACTTCCCGAAAAAAAAAAACCCGTCTCCGCAAGTCTGTGTCAAGAATGGAAGTCAGTATTCGACCTCTCCAAAACCTCTCTAAAAAGTATCCTTCAGTTTTGCGCACCAACAGCTAAGTTACCCCACAAACCGAAGGTTGTTGCTCCAGAGATCACATGCTTCTCATCTCCGTCCGTACCTGTGCTGGATTTCTACACCTTGCATGGATCATTTTACGCTACCAAGTGCAAGAGTAAAAAAAGAAAGTGGCGATAAATAAAAGAGCAGTCCACCAAAACGAAGTTGTTTAATATGGGAGGACAAACTTTCCCGAGCTCAATTTATATTTTAAAAAAAAAAAGAAGTGCTGAGCAATCGCAGCGGTAGCAACAGGAGCGGATCCCTGGAGAGGTTCGGGAGCTGAGGATGGCGCAGCAGTGCCTGTCAGTGGTGTTTGTGCGTCTGCGGCTTGAGATTTGGGCACAGAGAGGCTTTTTTGTTGTTGGTGGGTGGAAACATGTCAGCGGTTAGCACCTGATAGGGTAATCTTGGAGAGACCATCATCTTGGAGAGGGTTTTTTCTGCTTGGTGGGCGAAGCGTTGCGCAAAGAACTTGAACACAGAGATTAGGTGCTTTTTTTTTTTTTAAATTTAGTTTAGATTTGGACTTTTTTTTTTATTAATTAATTTTGTTTTTTAGAACTTTTAGGACTGAATGTGTATTCTCACATAAACAAAGATAACCCAATCCGACAATCTAATATGCACTCTATGTATTTAATTGAAAAAAAAAACAAGTCGATTCAGTGGTTTTGTATTTATTATTATTATTATTATTATTATTGTTGTTAGCTGAAATTAGGCGTTCTAAGTGTTACAGAAACTATTTGTCCCTAAAGTTATTTGTGCGTTTTAAACAGCGAATGGTTTGTGTATTGGCCTGGCTCTCCCAGACAGCATTCAAATGCAGGTTGTCTCGAATTTTTTCAGTAATGTGCTATAACTTACCCTGAATTTAAATGAGAGAGAGGTGTGAATGTGGTTGGGAGTAGCTTACTTCAGAGCTGGTAGCAGTAAAGTGAGTCCATCTCTGCATGCTGCCTTAAAAAAAAGAGAAAACCTTTGTGGCTGGCCCTTATTGTCCCATTAAAACTGGGTCCTCGGGATTCTTCTCCCATTGATATTCAAAATGATTCTAAATGATCACATACATAACTCCCCATGCTGGGAATTTCAAAGGGTTCCCTGCAGCTAGTTCAGTGGGAATTGAAAATGAGTGTTTAACTAAGAACTCGAGCTTATAATTTCTGCTAGCAGAAAAAAGTCAGGAAAGTATCTATCACTTTAATTTAAAATATATTGTGTTTATGAGTTTTTAAAAGCCTGTATCTTTCCTGCAAGTGCATGGATAATGTGGGTTTATCCAGTGATTTATGGCTCTCTGCCTAACAAGACTCCTTGATCCTGTCAACCTCAGTGCACTGTACAAATCCCTTTAACACACCTGATGTACAATGTAATTTAAAGCATGACTAATTTAGTCTTGTCTGCCTTAGGGAGGGAAATCACCAAAAAATGAGCAAATAGTAATTATCCTAAAAGATAATTTGATTACTTCCTTAGAAATGAAGGGCTTTCAGATTGTGTGAGCAAACAATAGCTGCTGCTCATTGATTTCTCTGAAGGTCAAATGTAAATGCACCTGACAATTGATTTAAAGGCAGGATGATAAACAGCAATTATCACACTGAATGTGATACAGCCAGCATTGTGGAATCACTCATCGCCTCTTAAGCACATGTTTGCGACAAACCTCTCGGAGCATGACTGTAACTCCACAACTAAGGGGTGGGAGCAAGAGGCTTGGATGTGGCCACCTGTGAAGCACAAGAAGGAGAAAACCTTTCCTGGCTCTTGGAAAAAGGGAAGGCCCCCTTTTTTAGGGGACTTTTATCATTTCATCAGTGTTACAAGTATGGGAATAAGCAATGGCCACAAGCCAACTGTGTGATGGTTCTGCAATGCACTTGTCTGGTCTAGTAGTCACTTTGGCAGCTGACCAATTGCAGGAGTCAGCAGGTAATTCTAGAAACTTAAACTAATATATAGAACAAAAAAGTTCAAGTAAACCCAAATAAATATTTTGTTTTCCAATTCTGCCAAAAGTTGTACTTACGAAGTGGAATTTTTTATTTATTGAAGTTCCATGATTTGACTCCACTGGTCTTGCGATGCCTCATTTCAACACACAATTACCTTATCAACACTTTTATCTATTTCCACCTGTGGTTTTATGCAACTTTTGCACAAGGAGATTGAAGTGAAATGGTGCTAAAGGATGCAGACACAGAACAAGAACATATTGTGCTAAATGCGATGCAGTCTTAAAAATACATAATAATAATAATAAATAAATACATTTCCTACACAGTATTAGCAGTAGTTGAAATTAAAATGTTTGCTATCACATTCTGTATTTTTTTTACAATTTAGATTAATAATTTTTTTTTATCTACTTTTTTTGTACAAAATAAAAAAAAAATTGCAATTCTAAGAAAGGTACCAATTGAAGCAAGTGGGAAAATACATTGATCACTGATAAAACTACTGACATGTGTAATTTATAACATTATCTCTATTATTCATGGGGATGTAACTTTAACACAGGAGCCAACTAAAAGTTGTTGCATATTAAGAAACCCCCTTCATGGTAATAGCAGTCTCTCATGGCAGTGGCCTCCCCCAGCAGGACAATGCAGGTCACCTTACTGCAATAACCGCTCAGGAACAGCCCGAGAAACGTGACAAAGACACTAAGATGTTGACCTAACCTCTAAATTTCACACTTCCCCAATCTGACTGAACATCTGCTCGATGAGACAAACTAACCAGAGCCACGGAGGCCTCACTACGAAACCCGTACGACCTGAAGGATCCACTGTCAGTGTCCCAGAGACAGACGCTTAACGGCAACCGTAGAGGTTATGTCAATGCTCCAACAGATCAGAGCTGCTTTGGTGGAACAAGGAAAAGCGTACACAACACCAGGAAGGTTTTTTTTTAATCACTGGATCCATGTGTGAATTTACCCTGAACCAAAAAAGTCAGTTAGAAGAGTTGGTGTACCTAAAAACAAAACAAAAACGTGTGCTGATGTGAAAAAGTAGGAAAAACAGAAAAGAGAAAAAAATCCTGATGAAACCATGAAAATCAATCAACGCAGGTTGACGCTGGAAAAGTGTAACAAGAGAGAGCTTTGTGAATGAGGAGAAAAGTTTCCGTCTAGTTCACGAGGTTTGGAAGAGGGATGAGTGGGGGGGCAACCACTCAAGAGTTGGGATAAGGTTACCCACACAGATTAGCTGAAAAGAGAGAGGGAGTGAGAAAAAACAAGCAAGCAAGGTAAAGGTCTTAGTTTACCTGCCTTGCTGTGCTTGGCAGCCAATGAAAGTGCTTTCAAGCCTGGTGCCTGAAATGAATGAATGAATCCACTGCAGCCAAATTTGTCAATGATATTTCAATTTTTATGAAAATGAAGAGAACTGTTTTAGCCAGGGGCTACAAAGTGGCGATGATGTTACTTAGACGACTCCCAGAGTCCTCCCAAGCCTTTGAATTTGAACCTCGCCGCTTCCGTGCAGTTATGCGTGTCTGTCTGCAGCAACGAGACTGTGGGAATGTCACCGAGGATATCTCATTGAAGCTGAAGGAGGAGGCATCTGAGGGCGGGCGAGCGCTCAGCAGTTCAAAGGAACCTAGCAGCCATTTAAGGCTTGATAAAAGAACTTGGCAGATCAGTAAGTGAAGCCCAATGTACTACATTAGTGTCAGGACCCCCTCCGCGTCCCTCCCACTTTGCACTTTCATCTCTGACACGGACATATTGACTTAAAGGAAAGGAGGGGTGCCCGGGACACGAAGGAGGGGTCAGTAGTTGTGGTGTGTGTCGAGGGGGTGCATGTGTCCCATTCAGTGCCCAAGGTGAAGCGATTGATGCCGAGGGGTGACCACTGACTCATATAAGCCACCCAGAAGCCTTTTTTAAACTAGAAGTCACAGGCCGACAAGCATGTGAGACCTAAATGGGACGGCCCCTTTCCTCTCATCTCCCTAAAACTCAGCCTCACCCCATTAGTGTATGCTGACCCTACCCCCGCCTCTGCACACACCCACGCGCACACACACAAACATCCTTTTTCACACTGGTGATCATGCCCCGCTGCTGGTTACCAAAAGTCCAATTGCTAACGTGGCTCCAGGTCATAAAGGGGTCGCGACACCTTGACATTGTGGAGGGTGACAGAGAAAGGAGCCAGAGGAGGGAGGGTTCAGAGAGCTCTACCTCTGAGACCTTTCAAGTATCACCTGAGGAAGAAGGAGAGGGGGGGAGGGACTGCTTTGGTAATTTGTCCCCCGTCACACGTTGTTTGCACGGACTCATTAAGGACCATTTAGGTTTTGCCTTGAAGAGAAGCTGCCCAAAAATTTGGGTGCAGGCCGTGGGAGGTAAGGGTTAAAAATGAAAGCATCGCTCTTCAACAAATTATCTCCACGCACTACATTACACGTCGAACATATTATCTTTTCCATTAGCTTTGGTCGTCTGTTTGACATTAATGATGATTTGCTCCAAAGCGATCCAGCGGGGAGTCTAAAGTTGTCCAAAAACATAAACACAAGTTTGGGCTTTTTTGTTGCTAGTTGCTAACATATGCTATAACCTTTTGTGACTACATGCATTTTGAAGACCTCACTAGACTATTCATGCCTGGATTAATTCTTTGGCTATTGCCTAGCAAAGACAAACTGCCAAAATGTGTCACAATCCTACAGTTGAATAACAATCAGCCGGCAGAATTCATGTGTTCTAAGTTTTTGGCCCGCATTTGACAGATAAATGTCAACTCCCTTGGACAAGCAAAGGTAATCAAAAAGTCGTGTTTCTGTTCGCAGACTTTTGTTGAACAATATGAGTGCTTTAATGACATAATAAGCCTTCAGAGCTGGGTGGACTAGTGGTGAAAGTTTGGGAAGTTAAATGATGTAAGTGTTTCTTGTCAGCTCTTTAATTTTTTTTTCCTCCCTGAATTGAACAGCCTCAAAATTGTTTTCTTGGATGGCCACAATTACCGAATTAAGGGGCTGCTTTGTTTGTAATGTGGCATAAAATTGCTTAGAGACTCGCAAACTGGCCAGGTTTGACTCATTCACACAAAATGTGTGGTTATTTGACAGCTTCTAAAAACACTTAGGCCCCCTGCCGTGTTTAAACGAATCCTGAACCCTTGATGGATCACAATTTATAGATGCCATTAAAGAGACAAAGGCTCTAAGTAAATTAAAAATCTACTTTAGAACAGCTTTGAAAAGGTGATACTTTCTAATCAAATGGAAGCCCACCAAGAGTGTGACCTAAACTCGCCTTTATATTTTGATGAGGACTTTGGTTTTACCT